ATAGTCCTTCCTCCTAATGATCTCACGCAGGAGCTTTGGGGCTATGTGGTAGGGAATGTGTTCTTTAAAAGGAAGTATGTGAAATCCACATAAGGCAGTAACACTGTAATATCACTGTTTCTGACTGTGGCTCCAGGGACCCAGCCATGAGGCTCCCCTCTTGCTCCATCTCCCTGGGCCATTGGGCTGGGAGTGGAAGAATGCAAGACAGCGGGGAGGAAAGTGCCCGCGTTGCCCAGGAGCTTGGCAGGATCGCTCAGAAACACACTCAACCTTGGGAGAAACACCAGGGAAAGACCCCACCACTCCCATTGCCCTTTCCTTTCTCTAAGTGTTTCCAACAGACTGCCCCATGTACGCCATTCTAAGGCTTCGTCAGGTAGAAGGGCGTTCCGGTGCAGTCCTCAGACAGCTCTGCCACGTGCATGAACAGCCAAGTCTCCCAACAGAGGGCACCAGGCATTCATTCCCTTAAAGGTTCTGTTTTCAGGTCACGTGCAATCACGGGACAGTTGCTAGTCACCACCAAGACCAGGCCATCCCGGAAGCATTCTAAGAAAGACGTGCTGGTTCTGTGAGCTCTGAAGCACCCTTAGCCCGACCTGCCAGGATGATCATTGTGGCCATGGCACAAGAAAGACAGAAGAGGACAGACGGCCGGCCCATTCATTCCCGCCGTCATCAAGCTGTCCTTTCTTGGAGGAAGGAGGAGGACGGGAGGGAGCTAACAGGCTGCAAGAAAACAAGGGGACCCCTCAAAGAGCTTCGGGGAGACCATGAAGAATGATCTCAAGCAGTATTAGCTGCTCCAGGGCATAATAATGTCCCCATCAGGTGTTCCTATACTCTGTGCCCCTCACGCCCTAACACCATAGAACAGGAGGAAGGGTACATTTGGTCTCTCTCCTCCTATTCATTTTACCCACTCCCTTTCATTTCCAATTATTATTTTGCTATTGAGCCTGCAATGTGCCACTGCGATCCCTGGTGGCTCTGCAGGCAGTGGGATGAGGAGAATGACCCTCAAATGAAGCTATGATCCTCCAGTGCGAGAGGCCACCCTGAATCCGGCCATCACGGTTGTTAAGAATCAGTCCCCGAGATGAGGCACATGGCTTTTCAGCTCATCACCGCCATCAATGTCATTCTATGGTAGTGTGAGTGTGATATCACAAGGCACATTTGCACGGGACACAGACGCATTCGATGCTCCTCCTGCTTGGACCCTTCCCCTGCCCTCCCCTCCTACTGGCCGCCCTGTTCCTCTCAGCTTCCCTGTAAAGAGGCCTTTTTCACACTGAGTCAGATTACAGCAGGCTTTGTTCAAAACCCTGCCTGGCTCCCAGGTCCCTCAGAGGGAAAGCCCAAGGCCTCCAGCCCCGACCTGGTCTGACGGTCTCTGCCCGCCTTGGCGTTTAGGTTTCAGTGAGCCCGATTCTCAAGCACACCATGCTGCACTCCTGCCTGCTTTGGGCCTCGACGCACCTGCTTCCTCTGTCCCAGAGGCTCTTCCCCAAAACATCTTCCTGCAAGTCTGTGCTCAAATGTCACCTTCTCCATTCAACCCTGCCACCTGCCCTCCACCGCCCTCCCTGCGCGGCACACTGGAGCTGCCTTTCCTGCCTCTGGGTTTGTTTTTTGCATAACACTATCACCTCCTTACATACTAGATAATTTAGGTACTGACTATTTTTTACTGTTTAGCCTGCCCCACCTTGACAGCCAATGTGGCTGCAGGACAGAAAAGACAAAAGAGGAATGATGGCTGACCCAACGCTTCTCGTCTTTCCCGGCCCCATGATACGGTTTGGCTATGTCCCCACCCAAATCTCATCTTGAACTGCAGCTCCTGTAATTCCCACATGTTGTGGGAGAGACTCGGTGGGAGATAATTGAATCATGGGGTGGTTTCCCCCGTACTGTTCTCATGGTAGTGTATAAACCTCACGAGATCTGATGATTTTATCAGGGGAAACCCCTTTTGCTTGGCTCTGATTCTCCCTTGCCTGCCACCACGTAAGACATGCCTTTTGCCTTCCGCCATGATTCTGAGGACTCCCCAGTCATGTGGAACTAGGAGTCCATTAAACTTCCTTTTCTTTATAAATTACCCAGTCTCAGGTATGTCTGTATCAGCAGCATGAAAATGAATGGATAGACCCCACTAGAAGCCAAGCTCCAAGCCAGCAGGATGGAGCCTGTTTTGTCCAGTACCCGTTCTCTGCCCAGAGCAGTCCCAGCAAACAGTGAGTGTCCCATAAATATCTCTTTGGTGAGTGAATGGATGAATGAACCGATGAACAAATGAAGGGTGGAACTACTGCCACTCAGGGGAGGGGGTTGTGCATCTCACGGAATGAGCTGGTCTTCAGGATGGGGTTCCCTGGGGAGAGGGGGAGAGGGCTGGCAAAGGCAGAAGGTGCTGCTTCCAGGAGGGCAGTGCCTGCAGTTTGCCTGGAAATCCCCTTGGCATCACTCATTAACCAACCCCCACACCAACACACCTCCAAACACAAACAGCAGCTGAAGAGTAACTTCAACCATAGACTCTCTTTCTGGCCCTGGCTCCCACCAGTGAGTGTGTGTCATCATCTGGACACCTACTGCGTGTGCCTTGGATCCCAGGATGAGCAGTGAAGAAGGGACGGTGGGGGATGAAAGAGATCCCCTCCCCCCAACCCCATTCTCGAGGCACTGGCTGGGAAGGCAGAGCCAGCACTTGCAGAAGTCCTGAAGGTGAGCTGGTGGGTAGGTAAAGGAGCTGCCAGCCCCATGGTCCCATGGCTGTGTGTTTTTTTGTGCGTGTGGTTTTTTTGTTGTTGTTGTTGTTTTTTTGTTTTTTTTTTTTTGAGATGGAGTCTCACTCTGTCACCTAGGCTGGAGTGCAATGGCACCATCTCGGTTCACTGCAACCTCTGCCTCCCAGGTTCAAGTGATTCTCCTGCCTCAGCCTCCCGAGGAGCTGGGACTAGAGGGACACGCCACCACGCCAGGCTAAATTTTTTTTTTGTATTTTTAGTAGAGATGGGATTTCACTGTGTTAGCCAGAATGGTCTCGATCTCCTGACTTCGTGATCCACCTGCCTCGGCCTCCCAAAGTTCTGAGATTACAGGTGTGAGCCACTGTGCCCGGCTGGCTGTGGGGTTTTAAACAGGTCAGGTACACAGATGGTGACACAGGGAGGGAGTGTGCTGAGCACAGTGGCGGGGTGCAGTCACATGCAGTCTTGGAGTGGGATGTGGAGGAGATGAGCTTGGCTGAAAGGATTCAAATGTGAGTGGGAAGTGTTGGGAAGTGAGACGGACCGCCCAGTGAGATCTGGCTGTTGGGACAATAAACAGAGCACCACGATGGGTTTTTTTTTAAAATAAGAAAATGCCCTATCTAGTGCTGCATTTAAGTAAGAGGCTTAGGGAAGACATGGATAGGATCACTTTGGGGAGGAAGGACTAGGAGTCCAAAGGCTGGGGCCCCTTGTGGGTATCCCAGCTTGTTCTACGAAAGCCAACACCAGGGCGGTGGCTGGGAGGAGCGGGGGAAGGATCCAGTGGAAAATTGCTGTGACGTCATCGTCAGGACTTAGTATTCTAGTGGCTGGGGGAGTTGAAACCCATGGCCGCCTTCCTTCAGCTTGAGCCGTGCAGAATAAGACAAAGATAAATAAGGGAGGGAACTAACAGGGCATCTACTGTCACCTAGACTTTGGATTTGTGTTATTTCATTCAATTCTCACTCTCCCCTGAGGACAGAGTATTAGCATCTTACAGATGAGGAAACTGAGGCTTTGTACTTTACCCAAGATCGTATCGAGAGCTAGGAAGATTTTAAAACACAGGGAAAAAAACACTGACATTCATTGTGCACGTAATACATCCCAGGCACTTCACTGCGTGTTCTCTCCTTTTACTTCACAACGTGGAAGAGATCATTTTTATTATCTCCATTTTATAAATGTGGAAAGCATAGTCCGGAAAAGTGAAGGTCACCAGCCCTAGGTCACAAAGCAAAGATGCAGTGGAAATGGGATGCAAACCCAGGGCATCCGGGTCCACGCTCTACCACTATACCAGACCAATAGTGACAAATTTACAACATAATCTGTCTAGTTCCAAAAGTGTGATTGCATTGTATAGCACTCCCTCTCCCAGGCTTCATACCAGTAGAGATCATCTGCTGCTTCCAATCAAATAGGACCATGCTCTGAGCTTCCAGCTTAGTACTTATGACTGAGACTTACAGTCAGTGCTGTACTTGCCATGAATGGTGGCATCTAGACAGCCCTGGGCAAACCCAGCCCTTGGAGTAGGGGAGCAGCCCCTTGTTCCACATCCTGTTTTATTGGGAGCAGACTTCAGTCGGCAGCATGCCAGAAAGCGTAATATCCCCTTTAATCCCACGGACAGTCTCTGCACTCCTAAAGGCCAGCAGGTGCAATCCACCTGTTTCTCTATCTCCAGGACCCGCAGGCTTCGAGTTACCTGCCTCCTGTTCTCCCTGCGCACTGCAAGACCTCTGTGCCCTGCAGTGGAGTCAGCGTGTTCAGGGCAGGTAGCAGGAGAAGTCGCATGATGCCCTGGGGAGCTGAGAAAATTCACTGTCACTCAGAAGAGCAACAGATCCCAGCAACAGTCCAGGCCTGGCTCCCTCACTAGTTAACTGTGACCTTGGGCAAGTGACTGTACTTCAGCCTCCCCACCTGTAGGCTGGGCATAACAGGACCTCACTCTAGAGTGGGGAACAGGTGAAAATAAGTTGATCCAAGTAAAAGCCAGGAGCAGACAGCCTGGCCTAAATTAATTGTGATGACTGTTTGTACGTACTGACCTGTGCCTCTGGGCCTCTCTGATGGCTCAGTGCAAGGACCCTGCCTGCCAACAGCTGCTCTGAGCTGGGGGCATTAGGGATGTCTGAGCAAAGGGTTGTACCAAAGGAGGATCAAAACCTCGAAGCAAAGAGCCACAGGGACGCAGCTGTACTGTGACTGCCAAGTGCAACTCACCTCTTTCTTGTCCTTTCCTGGTTCAAAGCACCCACCAAGTCAGCCAGAAATCTCTGATTCCACCTAGAAAAATAAGGGAAGAATTACACCAGGAAACAAGATAATGAAACTCATCTTGAAGCTTAAATGCAGACCAAGTGGTTCCTCAATGCCAGACAGCTCCCCACAAGCACACGGGAGTTTAATAGCTGTTTATTCTTCCATACAGACTAAAACTACATTCATCAGAAAAAGGGGAGTAATTCATTTCCTATGCCAATTGTGGATATGGCAAACTGAAGAATATTTTCAAAGACAGTTTATTATGATCACAAACTTGACCTAGAATCAACTAACATGTAAATAGATATTTACATGGGGGAGTAATTTTTTTTCAAGTTATGAAGAAACTTAAGTTTACAACGGACATTTACTACAAAACAATCTTACACCACAGTGCCAACTTGTTCTGTTTTTATTGGGTCTTTTACTCCTATGATCCTATTTCTGAATTTTCATATGTTCTGATCTTATTATATGTCTGAATTCACTGAATGGGATGACATATGACAAGCATCTCGCCCCATGTCTGGTCCCTATTAAGCTCTCAGTAAATATCAGCTATAATATTATTAATTTTACATTCCTGTTGTGAGTTTCTGTTTCATTCCACCCATATCATTCCTGAGCAAATGTACACAGATATCAGCATAGTTGCTGTTGCTGCCGTTGTTAAAACAGACATTTTATCTTTAAACCCAACCTCTGTTCAATCTAAGTCAGACACCAGGAAGAGTAGTATTTCAAAAGGTGTTTAAAGATAATAGCCCCTTTCTAACTTTCCCCATCATTAGGCTCAAAGAAATCACTCTAGACCCTCAGGTTGGCAAATGAAAACAGAGAAGAAAAAAAAAAAGGGAAAAGGAATACCATCAGATTCGAAACAGAAAACTTGTAACCTTCACACACAAGAGAAAGGATTGTCTCTGGGCAGTGTTTGTTCTTTTGCTGGGTGCACATTATACATTACCACTCTGGGGTTTTTGAGTTACTGAGGACAGGGCTGGGCTGCTACCCTGAGACCAATTCCATCAACCCGCACCTACCACCAAATCAGACTGGGGGTCCTCTTGGGCTCCAGCACCCCTACCCCCCACACCAGCAACACACGTGTGCTGGGCCTAGCTCCCACTTCCACACCCATGAACATATGCCAGGACCAACCTCAAATGCATAGGCTCTTGACTGCAGGGTAAAGGAGGTAGACAGTTTTAGCCCGATGAATCATGCAACACTTGGGACCTAACTGGCCGATGCTGGACCTAACCCGAAAATGCTAGAAAACTCACTGAAACGGAGCAAGCGAAACTACACGAGAGCCACCAAGGCTAACCCCAGCATCTGGAACGGGTTCCTGTTTCTACTTTATACAAAGCAGAAATGCACAACCCATTTTCAGTTTGTTATTAGGTGGAAAGAATCCAATAAGCTCATTCCAGCTAAAGCCCAGCTGAATGGATATAGCTTCAGCGTCACCCCTCCATGGGAGATTTGCATTTTATGCTGACTTAGTCTTAACTCTTCAACCTGTCCCCATGAAGCTTCTGCCCATTTAATAATGGCAGAGACTGGGGAGAGAGGATAGTGGGACAGTGGAAAGCCATCTTCTTGAAATCCTACAGTGGGGAGTAGGCGAAAGAGGGGAGGCAGAGGCATACAGCTGAGATTCTCAGACATGGCTACTCACGAAAATCCCTGCCCCCTCCCCTGGACAGCTGGAAAATCATTCTGAAGCCCGACCCCCACCCCAAGAGGTTCTGATTCTTACAAGGGGAGGCCTGGGCACTAGGATTTTTTTTTTAAAGTTCCCCAGGTAAGTTCAATAAGTAACAGACTCTGAGGATCATCTGGGGATCTTGCTGAAATTTGCATTTGGTGGGTCTGGAGTGACAGCCTGAGATTCTGCCTTTCTCCTGGGTGAAGCCAGTGCTGGGGGTCCTCAGAACACTCTGAGTTACAAGAACTTAGGTATCCCCCCTTCCCCCTCCTATGCCCCCAAGGAACCTCAGGCAAGCTGACCGCAACCCTCTCTCCAGCCTCGGCTTTCTCTTCTGGGATGGAAAACACCACTTTTCCAGGAGGCCCCAGAGACGTGCCCAGTTGACTTCTAGAGTGCCAACTGGGTAAGAGACATTACTCATGTCCCAAGAGACAGCTGCCCCCTTTCCCCTTTCCTGTAGTCCTGTTCTAAGCAGTCCTACTTGTAACCTGAAGTGCACCTGGGTCACTACATTCAACAAAATGGTCTGTTTCTGCTCTGGTCCTTAAAGGGAGTAGGGGGTCTCATGCCCCCTGGCTTTTTGCACTGGCACGATGACCAGGGCCACCAAGACGCAGGGCCGCCCAGGGAGCCTGACTCTGTCCAGGGCCCACTGGCCCTGGCATCGGCCCTGAGAAGCCCTTCCGTGGCTTCACACACACCTCCCCACCACGTAGCACTGCCCTTACTGTCCTCACCGCGGATGGTGGTGGGACAGGGAGGGGATGGCACTCCCTCGGAAAGAGGCCAACAGCAGCACGCCACGCCCGACTCCAAACCTCTGAGGGAGGCCACAGACTGCAACTGGCTACCCACAGCCTGCCCCCAAGGGTCCCTCCCTGCCTCCTGCACCCCCGGCCCCACCCCTCCTTCCTCACATTCCCGGGATGCCTGGAGCCATACACCACCTAGTGGTTCCCAGCTCAACACCAGCAACAAGACACCTCCAACCAAGAGGGAAGAACCCGGTCCTCCCAGGACACCTGGACTAAGGAAGCTAGAGACAAAAGGTCCAGCAGGTGAGGCCACAAAGAGACATTAGGCTGCAACACGTCCAGTCCCCAAAACTCACCACTTTCTCCAAAAAGTGCACCCGGAAGGCAGTAGGCCATGCTGGAAAAGGCAGCCACATACCACAGGAGGAGACCAGGGTGGAGAGGGAAGAAGACCCGGAATGGGAAACGTGGATGGATGTCCACACTTTATGAGCTGGAGCCCCCTCTGTGGCCAGAATAAAAGTTGCAGGTTGGACATTCTTGATGGGTCCAAAATCACAGTGGAGTGATTTCAAGGAAACAGGCCAAGTAGTCAAGACGCCAAACCACTGAGTCCAATTTCTAGAAACCTACCCAAGCTCAACACACCCACTGGGCCCCTAATACTTTTTGGGGGCCCAAGAAAATGTGCAAATTCCTTTTAAAACCAGAATAAATAAAATGATGGTAATAGGAATGCCTAGATAACAATGAATCCAGCCTGGATTCTAATCATCTGGATTCTATCTAATACATTTTTTTTTTTTTTTTTTTTTGAGATGGATCCTCGCTCTGTCACCCAGGTTGGAGTGCAGTGGCACGATTTTGGCTCACTGCAACCTCGGCCTCCCAGGTTCAAGTGATTCTCCTGCCTCAGCCTCCCAAGCAGCTGGGATTATAGGTGTGCACTACCACGCCTGGCTAATTTTTGTAGTTTTAGTAGAGACAGGGTTTCACCACGTTGACCAGGCTGGTCTCAAACTCCTGACCTCATGCGATTCACCTGCCTTGACCTCCCAAAGTGCAGGTATTACAGAAGTGAGCCACCATGTCCAACCATAAAATACAATTTTTAATGTTTTGTTTTTATGGAGGAAGAGGTCTAAGAAGACAAAAGTGCCAAAGATTATGAACATCGTTTGGTTCTGAATTTACCTACTTTTTTTTCCAGTCTCCAAATTTCTCAGTCTTTACTGAAACCCCTTGTCGAATGCTCTTTCTGTGAGACCCCCATTCGAGCCAGGGGACCCACCTCCACCTGCTTCCCATAGGTTCATCCTTTTTACTCTGGGTTCTATTGAAAGTCTTCTGTCCCATTCCAGGCAAGTTCATCCAAGGCCCCGGCACCCTGGGCCTGTTTCTGGCCCGGCAGACACTCCAACAGCTGCCACCCCTGCCTGTGTGTGAGAAGTGCAGTCTGGCAGGATGGAGCAGCAACTCTGAAGTCCAAACACACACACTGAGCCCCCTGCAGCATAAACACAGAGCATACATCACACCCAGGCCTATAAAGGATAATTATACAATCTGATCTGGCAAATTAGTGCCGAAGAATGTCTAATTCTCACAATGAATTCGAGGGTTGGATCGGCAGGAAAAATTAACCTGGATCTTTATTGGGATTTGCCCCCAGGTCAGGATTAGGGTTTATTTATCTCCTTTATTTTCCTGTTGAAGGAGGGTAGACAGCCTTCTCTCCTGCCCGCCCCTCCCCACCGCATCCAGGCTTGGCTTTTAGACAAGCAAGCTGCCCGGTGATCTTTCCCACGCACTACCTAACCCAGCTCAGCTAAAATCAAAGAAAGCACCAACTAGGAGATATGTGTGCTTTTTTTTTTTTTTTTTTTTTTTTTCGTAAGGAAGAAAAGTTCAGGCATCCCATATCAAGGGATTCACTCGTTGGAACAGAGTCAATACAAGGTAAACAAAAGAATGAACATTTCCAGATGGCAATGTACCTCCTAATTATTCTGGCCCAGCTCTGAAATGTTTACTTGGAGAGCACTCACATATACACATTTCTCTAAACACCTTTTTCTCTCTTTCTTTCTTTCTTTCATCTGTTCTCCCTTTCCACGGAGTCTTTCCAGAGGAGATGGTGATTAACAGGAGTCGGTTCTCATCTCCTATGCTCATTAAACGGCTAGATCACCAAAGAATTGTTACCACAACGCCAAGACATGTTGACACCAAGCAAGGATTATCTTTCATCTAACAAAAACAAACCTGATGGCAGGCCGGCAAGTTTTCTCCTCTCTTTTTCTATCTTTCCGGGGTTTCCCCTGCGAAGATCATTCCCTACCCAAACTCCCAAGTCAACTCTGCAGTGACCCACACACCCAGAGCTTGAAAGACAAGGCCCCGGTCCATAGAGAGAGCTGGCATTCAGACTTTTAGCCTACAGAAAATGTGAGTCTGTCAGAGAACTAAGGCTGTGATACACTGAAAGAATAAGGCAAGCTTCCCCGCATCTAATACCCATGTGATCTACCCACAAAATTCTTAAAAAG